ATATTGAGTCCTACTAACAACGCCTTGTACTCGGCCTCGTTATTAGACGCTTTGAACATTAATCTAATAGCTTACTCTATGGTGAAACCTCTTGAGTTGGCCAGTACTACACCTAACCCCACCCCCCCTTGTGTCCGAGGACCCATTAACATGCAGGCTCCATACGTCATCATCTCGAGCTCTTTCTTGTGGGGGATCAGACGCAGAGAACTTGGTGATGAAATTCGCAAGGACCTGCCCTTTAATCGCAATACGGGGTTTGTATATTATCTCAAACTCCCCCAGTTCCACAATCCACTTGGCAACCCTGCCTGACATGTCAGCTTTATGAAGAATGGGCTTGAGAGGTCAGTCAGTCAGAACTTCTATGGCGTGCGCCTGAAAATAGTGCCTGAGCTTCCTTGCCAAAACCACCAATGCCAGAACAAGCTTCTCAATCGACAAGTATCTTGTCTCAGCGTCAAGTAAGGTATTTCTTACAAAATAGACAAGCCTTTGCGCCCCTTCACTTTCTTTTACAAGGGCCCCACTGATGGCTTCTTACGAGACAGATAAGTAGAGATTAAGTATTTCAACTACCACCGGGACAGACAAGGTTGGTGGACATTTTAAGTATTCCTTAATCTCTTCAAGTGCCCGACCACATTCCTCGTCCCAAGTTCCTTTTGTCGCTCCCTTCAACATGGCGAAAAATGGCTTGCATCTATCAGAAGATTTGGAAATAAATTGATTGAGGACTACTAACATCCCAGTTAGTTTCTGGATGTCCTTGATAGTTTTCGGCGCCTGGATGTTCTGCACAGTCTATATCTACTCGGGATTGGCCTCAATGCCCCTGTAGGTGACCAAATATTCAAAGAATTTTCCCGAGCTCACCCTAAAAGCACACTTCTAGTCATTAAGGCTCAAGTCGTTTTCTCGGAGTATGGTGAATGTGATCCCGAGGTCTTGAAGGTGATTGACGTTCCCCTTTCTTTTCACCAGCATATCACTAATGTGTACTTTCATAGTCTCATCGAGCTGCTGTTTGAAAATCTTATTCATCAAGCGTTGGTAAGTTACTCCTACATTTTTCAACCCAAACGACATCATCGTGTAGTAGTAGATCCCTCGGGGCGTAATAAACACCATTTTCTCTTGATTTGATTCATGTAAAGGAATCTGGTGGTAACCCGTCCGAGCATCAATAAAGGAGATACGTTTGTAGCCCGCGGTTGCATCCACCAGCTGATCAACCTTCAGCAGTGAATACTCGTCCTTGGGGTATGCTTTATTTAAGTCCATGAAATCCACACAAACTTGTCATTTTTCTTCCTTTTTCTTGGAACACACCGTGTTGGATAGCCATTGGGAGAACTGCACCTCCTTGCTGAAGCCTGCCCCCAACAACTTGTCCACCTCTTCATCTACGATCTTCGCATGATGAGGTGCCATTCTCTGAGCTTTCTGCCTCACGGGTTTGAAGGATGGGTTGATGTGGAGCCGATGGGTCATCACCTCGGCACTTATTCCTGTCATCTCAGCCTATGTCCACGCCAAGACGTCGGCATTTTGGCATATGAATAAAGTTATGTCAGACCTCTCAGCATCGTCTAGCGATGCCCTTATCAAAAGTACCTTTCCTCGTTGTTTGGGCTCAGAAAAACTTTGATCAGGACTTCAGTGGAACGATCGGCTGGCTCTGTAATGGGCTCATCCACTCCGGGCCGACTAAATTATGATTGCTATTTGGCAACCACCGTTTCGGGATCACGCTCTTGACCTTGGGAACTCACCCCAGTTTTTACCGTGACATAAAAATAGCTCTTTGACTATGTCTGATCACCACGGATCTCCATAATAACTCTTAGAGTGAGAAACTTGATCTTCTAATGATAGGATGAGTGGACAACTCTCATCGCATGTAACCATGTCCTGCCCATAATGACAGTGTATGAAAAATCAGAGTCTATCACTACAAACTCAACTGAGACGGTGACAATCTCGACCCGCACTATAAGAGCGATTTTCCCAAGGGGGAGGGTGCTGGAACCGTTGAAGCCTATGAAGGGGTCCTTATAGGTTCCAGGTCTTTCTGTGAGAACCCCATCTTGCGAAAGAGATTGTCATACATCACCTTGGACGAGCTGCCCGAGTCCACCAAAATCCTTTTGACATCATACTTGTCGATCCGCAAGGTGATCACTAATGCGTCTTCATGCGGGAGCACTAACCCGCCCAAGTCGGTGTCAGAGAAGTGAATGACCTTGGCATCGTGTCGTGGCCTCTTGGATGATTGCTCCCTACACCTGTTTTCCTCCACCTTTATTGCTTGTGAGATCCTTCGTAACTCTGCTCGTAGAGAATTGTATGTTGGCCTTTCGACAGTGCAGGCGTGTATGATGTCAATCACAGGCACTGCCTCATGAGACGCCTCAGTATCTCCCTTTGACGAGCCCTGGAGAGCACCTCTATCAATGAATTCTCCCAGATGTCCTTCTCGGACCAATTGCTCAAGGAGGGACTTTTACACCCTGTAGTCTTCTATTAAATGCCCAATGTCCTTATGATAAGAACACCGGGACGTCGAGTCCCTCATTCACGGGTCTTTTTGCATCCTGGAGGGCCATTTGAAGTAAGATTTGTCCTTTATTTTGTGTAGCATTTTGTAGATAAGCTATTTGAAGATCGATTCACCCCTTGGAATGATAAGCGATTCAGGGGCGGCACGAGTGCCCCCTCCTTACTGGCGGCTCTTCTCTCTCTTTCTCAACACAGGGGCCCTACTCTCGAGCATGCTGGACTCTTCCTCCACCCAGGCGTACTTGTTTATCTGGGCCATCAAATCCTTCATGTCCCCTGGATCCCTCTTAGTAAGTGAGTTATAGAGATCGGTGTTCCGGGACAATCCCAGCCTAAATGATGCTGCGACCATTGCCTCCAAGCACGCATCAACCTCGTTAACCTCCTCCGAGTATCGGATGACGTACTGTCGGAGGGACTCTCCACCTCTCTGTCTGAGCGTCAGTAAAGCGTCGATGTCCTTCAGCCTCTTACTGCTGGTGATGAATTGAGCCACAAAGAGCTCGATTATGTGTCTCCAAGATCTGATGCTCTCTCTTAGGGGCTAAACTCTCGTACCACTTCATGGCAGTATTCCCTAAGCTCATGGAAAAAACTCGGCACGGTACCCTTTGTTCAGTGTCATAAATGGACATCAACTACTTGTATTGCCGCAAGTGACCCTCAGGGTCCGTCCTCCCATCATAAACTTTGAATTTCGGTCTCTCTGATCGCCCGTACGAACGGGGAGACGATTTGTTCATCCTCGTTCGTATCTCCCTCGGGCTCGAGTCTGCGGCGTGTGTTATGGAGGCATACCTGGGGATCCCCTTGGAACTTTTCTTCTCTTGGCCTTCTCACCGTGGATTCTGCCTAAGACTCGGTTGCCACGACATCTCCTGGCATTCCACGACAGAGATCCCACCAGGACAGACCCGCCTTGTGATCCCACTCCGATCTCTCCTTGGGAGCTGGCCTCCAACTTCGATGGTTAGGCCTTTCGGGCGTGTGCCCGTGTAAGCGCCCCTCCTAGGGGCATCTTGCATTGCACCCATGGAGTAGCCTCGATTGAGACTCCGGTTCTGCCGCTCACAGCTCCACCAACTCGCATTCCTTGATTGCTCAAAATCGTCAAGCCGTCGTCGAACCTTAGCATTTTCCTTCTCGAGTTGTTTGATACATTTGCCCATCTGTTTTTCAACCATCTCAACGATATAACGAGCCAAAAAATCTTACCCCCCAAGGCCTTAATCCACAGGGAAGGTTTGTTAAGAGGACTGTTCCCCTTCGCCTAACTGGCTCAAGGGACCTGACTCCGTAACTACTAGGAGTTGGACAGCCTTCGCGTTTTTCACACGCAAACTTCCTCCCCCTTCACCCTATGATCGTGTGTTCACTATAATACAATCGCTACGGGAAAATATTTGTGTAAGTTACCATAAACGACGCCAAATTGCATGAGAGATTTCCTGCACCAGATTGAGATAGCGACCTACTGTCTGGCGAACCTGCAACAATCACAGGGTCAGAAAAAGGGGCCAGATGAACATCCAGCTTATCCCCTCCGAAGCTTAAATCAGTATCCGATTGAAGACTTGAGCACAATGTATATGTATTTTGATTTAATATTACATACCTTTATTCACTTTTCTTAGGAGTATTTATACCTAGAATAGTAATAAATGCAAAAGCCTCTTCAATGCCTGACACTCTTACCCACAAAGATTTGAATGTTCTCCTCCTAGTTATTCACATAATTAATACTAGGATGATAGGACAAGTGTTCAGAGACATGCCAAGCACTTATGGCTATTCCTGAACACTCAAATGTCTATGATCGACGTTTAACACCTACTATTCAACGTTCAATGCTCGGGAAAACAATACCACAGATCGCACTAAGGAGGCATTCTCGGCATATCAGCCATTAATGTTTAGTCATCATAATTACACGTTTAGGCTTTTAAGGATGCAGGAACTCATTAATGACACTGTCTCTGTCACTCACATCACTATAAATAACTAGTCAAGTCTCATTAAATGAGAGTGTCAACTTGTGTACTCAGCTCCTTCGAGCCGTCATTTCTCGACTTCACTCCTCGACATCCTTTGGACTTCATAATGATTACAATTTTACACGTGTCGATCTTAAAGCTGCTAAGCTGCCTAAAGTCCTGCCATTAGTCGATTACCCAAAATAAAGTAGTGTTTACACAACCAACCCTGCTTAACACTCTAAACATGAATACATATTCCGAATGGTGAAGCAAAATTCCAATCCAATAGAGAACAAAACAACAGGCTTTCTAATGCCTTACTAATGGATAGAAGTTACCACATAAGAGGAAAAACCAAAGTAAAATCTAACTGAAAAACCGAACATGAAACCAAAAATCTTTCAAAATTCTCACGACCACCATCGCTCCAACAAAGAACATCCATCAATCCGAGACACAGCTTTAGTCGACTTCCTCAATCTTGGGACCTGCACCACCAGCACCTGCTGATGAATGAGCATCATCATCCATGCCACCGGCCATGTCAGGGCCACCTTCACCCTGGTACATTTTTGCAATGATAGGGTTGCAGACACTCTCAAGCTCCTTCATTTTGTCCTCAAATTCGTCTGCCTCAGCAAGTTGATTACTGTCCAACCACTGAATTGCCTCCTCAATGGCATCTTCGATCTTCTTCTTGTCGGCTGCTGGGAGCTTGGAACTGATCTTGTCGTCTTTGATGGTGTTCCTCATATTGTAGGCATAGTTTTCCAACGAGTTCTTGGCTTCGACCTTCTTCTTGTGCTCCTCGTCCTCGGACTTGTACTTCTCGGCCTCCTGCACCATCTTCTCTATCTCTTCCTTGGAGAGTCTTCCCTTATCATTGGTGATTGTGATCTTGTTCTTTTGGCCAGTGGTCTTATCCTCAGCAGATATATTCAATATACCATTTGCATCCATGTCGAAACAGACAGTGATCTGGGGTACACCTCGGGGAGCAGGGGGAATGCCAGAAAGCTCAAATTTACCAAGCAAGTTGTTGTCCCTTGTTCTTGTCCTCTCACCCTCGTACACTTGAATCAACACTCCAGGCTGATTGTCCGAGTATGTAGAGAACACCTGCTCCTTCTTGGTCGGTATAGTGGTGTTTCTTGGAATCAAAACAGTCATTACACCTCCAGCAGTCTCCAAACCAAGAGACAGAGGAGTAACATCCAATAGCAATAGGTCCTGAACCTTCTCATTACCCTCACCACTCAAAATAGCAGCTTGAACAGCAGCCCCATAGGCAACGGCTTCATCTGGATTAATGCTCTTGCAAAGCTCCTTCCCGTTAAAGAAGTCCTGCAGAAGTTGCTGCACCTTGGGAATTCTGGTAGACCCACCAACAAGAACCACATCATGGACACTGCTCTTGTCCATCTTGGCATCCCTCAAACACTTCTCAACAGGCTCCATACATTTCCTGAAGAGATCCATGTTAAGCTCCTCAAATCTGGCACGCGTAATGGTTGAGTAAAAATCAACACCCTCAAACAAAGAATCAATCTCAATGGTGGTCTGAGCAGTGGATGAGAGGGTCCTCTTAGCCCTCTCACAAGAAGTCCTCAACCTCCTCAGAGCTCTGGGGTTTCCACTGATGTCCTTCTTGTTCTTTCTCTTGAACTCCTGAACAAAATGGTTCACCATTCTGTTATCAAAATCCTCACCTCCAAGGTGAGTATCACCAGCAGTGGCCTTCACTTCAAAAATACCCTCTTCAATTGTAAGAAGAGAGACATCAAAAGTACCACCACCCAGATCAAAAATAAGCACATTCTTTTCACCAACGCTAGTAGCCTTCTTGTCCAAACCATAAGCAATGGCAGCAGCAGTTGGCTCATTGATTATACGCATGACATTGAGGCCAGAAATGACTCCGGCGTCCTTTGTAGCCTGACGCTGAGAATCATTGAAGTAGGCTGGGACAGTGACCACAGCGTTCTTCACTGTCGATCCAAGGTAGGCCTCGGCAATCTCTCTCATCTTTGTGAGGACCATGGAGGAGATCTCCTCCGCAGCAAACTGCTTTTCCTCACCTTTGTAGTTGACCACAATCATGGGTTTGTCGCCAGGACCAGGAATTACCTTGAATGGCCAGAGTTTCATGTCACCTTGTACAGATGCATCACTGAATCTCCTACCAATCAATCGCTTTGCATCTGCGATAAAATACCAGATTCCAAAATTCAGTTATCTAAAATCCAATACCGTTGTTAAATTAACAATATTATCCATTTCAATTTCCAGCTACAAACCATAGAAACAAGGCACCTAAAAAACAAAGCATTCCCTGTATAGTTCTTGGATAAATTTTTGATTGACTGTACCTGACATGTATCAATATTCATATTGACATTCTCATTAAGAACCGATTGTGTACTCGAAAGGGAGGTAAAGAGATACAATTCGCATCGATCTCGACATACAAATACTCCGAAGGTACTATTGTTAGAAAGTTTTGGTCCAGACGGTAGTAAGTATCAATGAATTAATTTCTTCGGTGTATTTTTAGAAGTTTAAATTAATTTTTTTTTGATTCAATTGTTTTGCTTATGATCTAATAATCTTAAATTATTTTTTTTCAATAATTGGAAATATTAATCTCATCAAAACAAGTAGTAGATCTGACAAACACACACATAAATGTTTGAACATACAGGAAAACATTAGAACAGAGAGCGTATAAGCGGAGAGTTAAATTGTACCGAAAACAGTGTTAATAGGATTCATGGCGACTTGATTCTTGGCAGCATCGCCGATGAGACGCTCGCTGTCGGTGAAGCCAACATAAGACGGCGTCGTTCTATTGCCCTGATCATTGGCTATGATCTCCACACGATCGTGTTGCCAAACACCAACACAGGAGTAAGTCGTTCCGAGATCGATTCCGATCGCAGGACCTTCACCTTTTCCGGCCATTTCTCAGATGACGATTATGATGATGAATAAATCTAAAGAATCGGAGACTATTTCAATTATATGTAGATAAGAGAGATAAAATTGAATCTCTAAAAGAAGGGAGTATGAGAAACTGAAACTAGGATTTGTTGAATGTGAATGAATGATGGAACGAGGCGTGTCTGTACTTATATAGATTTTGCGATTTGTCTAGAATATTCGGGAATTTTCAGGGGACTATTTTAGACCGTTGATGATACATGTGATCTAATGGTTTTGAGTGTCCCGGAATTTTCAGGGGACTATTTAAGACCGTTGATGATACATGTGCTCTAAAGATTTCAAGTTTCTGGAATGTTCTGGGGACTATTTTAAAACGTTGATTATACGTGTAAAATGGTTTGGAGTTTTTATAGGCATAATAATATATTTGGGTGTTTGCTACCGTTTGACCCATAGACGAATATTCAGGCCCACCCGCCCCCTATTTTGACCAAACTACGAAGTGTCCTGCTCCATTCTCTTTCCTCCGATTAACTCTGCCAATAAATTAGATTTTGACTGGTTCAAATGTGAATATGATTTTAAAAGTTTGATTCTAAACAATAAGTGGGTGGATTTTATTTTGTGGTTTTTATTTAAATTCGTTAATAATCTAAAATTTTTATTTAATTCGGTTTGAATAATTTAATTAACTAAATTTTAATAAATTATACCTAAATTTTAACTAAACTTCTTTAAATAATCACATATTTTTTTAATATTTATATAGAAATAATTTGGATCGAATTGGGTATGAGTATATTCAAATTCGAATCCGTGAAATATAAGATATGAAATTTAAATTTAGGTCAAATTATTTGTAAAAAAGTATCAATCCGTATCCAACGGATTAGAATCCAATCTATTGACGTGCCTACACTGAGGTCTTTTTAATTGTCTTAAGTGAAGCAAGTCTGTATCATATTTTAATTTATCGGTGTAAATAATCATTCAACTCATGTACGACTTGTTAATTAAGTAGGTGTAAATTGTAGAACTATATAAGACGTATTTATTAAACGGGTTTTATGACAAACCATGTCTTATACTAATTTTACAATGCAAAAAAATTCTAATTAAAAGTCTTAATTCTGCAACATGGCGATAATCTATCTATATTACTAATAAAGTATCTTAGATAAAAAACTTTTGATTACCATTTTTTCCCTTAAACAATCTTAAAAAGTCATATTTGTTATCCTCATCTTTCGTGCTATAATGGAACTAGCAATTAGAAAGACAATAAATAATAAATTGTTAGACCTTATAAATTCTAACAATAAATGTTAATTTACAGTAGTCTACTATTGGAAGTGGAATCATTTCCTATATCTGTACTATTAATACTTGTGCTTGTATTTTTTTACTATTCAAGAATTCAACAAAAATAAGTTATTTTAGCTACAATAAATTTGCTTTATTCCGTGCAAATATTGACTGAAGTTGTTCATTGAGGGCACTAAAAGGGCACATAATTTTTCTCTCATATAGTGTCATTTTCTTCATCAGTTCTCCAGCCATAGAAGCCTTGATCAATCTTTTGACCAAACCATTAAAAGACCTATCATCAAGAAATCTGCTCCCCAATAATTGCTACTAAAAGCTTCAATGAAGTGTGGGCATATCAACTGGAGATGTTCCACTTGGAGATATACTTTCTGGTTAGAATCAAATATCGATAAACAAATTTTTGATACCATATCTTTCTTTTTTTTAAATCATGTTGGAAATTTTGTTATTTTATTATATTATTTTAGTGATTAATAGTTACAAATAACTCCAAATGTACAACCTAAAGATAACATAGCGTTGTCCTAGACTTTCTAAGTGCCAAACACTAACGCTTGGATATTCTAAGCAACCATGCAAAACTAATGGGGAAAATTATCACTTTAGTTTTATAGATTTTTTTTTTTTTGGGGGGGGTGTTTCTTTTCTTTGTTTGATTCTTTATTTTGAGTAGCAATTCATGAATGAATCCTTCACATGATAGGTTTTCCTATCTTGCTTAATGAGATATGTTCTTTAACTTTTATTTTAATTAGAGTTGGATTATATGGGGTTGAATGAATCTTGTGTTTGTTGCTTATAAGTATTTTTTTTTTCCATTTTTTATGCAGTTGAAATTAGATCATGAAAGAAAAGTTTTAGAAACATCTAACAATAAATTGAAATCCTTATATTGGTTATTCTTTATTTGAACACTTCGTTTATTTGGACACTTCGTGACAATCTCTATATAATGGAGGATTCACTATGTCATGGGAAATTGGATGTATGATTTGCAAATTTTGATAAAACTAGGTGAATTGATGAGAAAACTATTCGAAAATCGAGACTATATTTAATTATACATATTCGTAGCTGTAGCTATTCTTCCCGAATGACTAATCACCTATCCCTTCATGCCACCGCCACAACCAAGGTTTTGTGCCTATAAATTGTAAGTCATCTCCATAAGAAGGGCATCTTCCTACATACTCTCGACAAAGCTATCTCCCTCATAGTTGTCCAACCTCTCTTAGAGCTTACCATTGCTCTCTTTCTCTCTCTCTCATCTTACGTTATCAATAAAAGTCTTCGACTATCGTTGTGTCTTCAGAAGTGGAGTAGATCACTTCGATCGAACCACTATACTTATGTGCGTTGACCTAATCTTTACCTCCTGTTGTTAATTGTTTTATTGATTACTTCATTAATTACTTAGAATCGTACATTCGACTGTTGATTGTGCATAAATTCACTTTTGTGTATCATCAATAGGTACTTAAAAGGTGAGGTGGGAATTAAGGAGAAGACAATTTTCTTGGAAGGAAAATGCAGAGAAATTGGTTTAGACTATGTTTGGTAGACTTATTAGTCGTATGGACTTTTGGAACTCAAATGTCCATTCTCCAACCAAACATATTTTTTCTCCGACAAGAACCAAACTTTGGAAAGTTCATTATAAGGAAGCTAGGTGGGAGGATAGCTTTTCAAAAAGATGGAAATACTACATAAATTTAAAAAGTGAATTTAAATATTAAACTTGATAACCATAATTATTGAATAGGTAGTAGATCTCAATAAATATTAGGACTCACAGTAAAATCAATTGTTGCAATTATCAAGTCTACTTTTTAAGTCCATGTAGCATTGTTCTTACAAAAATTACTTTTCATGGGATTTCTAAGAGTTTTCTTCCTCAATTTTTTTTTTTTTTGGTAAACTACATTTTTACTCTTCAAACTATATGCTTTGCATTAGTTTATTCTCCAATCTTTTAATTGTATCCATTTGGTCCATCAACTTCTCAATTGTGTTACTTTGGTCTAATCAACAATAAGCGATTGAATTGACTAACAAAGATGTTCAACAGTTCAAATGACCACACTTGTTGGGTGACTTTGGCTCCTTAAATTTGTAACTTGTATCATTTTGGTCCTTCAAGTTTAAAGTTTGTGTCACTTTAGTTCTTAAAGTTTTCAAAGAATACACGTCAAGTGTGATCACATAATATGCACGTGACGATCTCCATTAGTAATTTAAACTGTCGTTTTTTATTAGACTAAAGTGACATAAATTGAGAAGTTGAAGGATCAAATTGACAAAATTAAAAGATTTAGGGCCTAACTAACACAAAGTGCATAATTTGGGACCAAAAATCTATTTTACTCCTTTTTTTTTCCAATTGCTTTTTGTGGGTATTCTATACATATAACTCTCAAATTATGACATTTCTTTTTATTAAATTTTAAACTTTTTTATGTTAATTGAGCTTTAAACAATCTAATTGTGTCAATTGAGCCTTTTTTTATGCCTCCATTAGATTTTCTAATCGAAAGTGGCGAAGTGTGCCATGTGACACAAATAAGTAAAGATATGACCCTCAAACTATGACTCTCATGCCAATTGAGCTCCTGAACTTTTTTTTTTTTGGGTCAATTAAGCCTTTGAACTCTCTAATTATATTAATGGAGCCCTTATATTTTTTTGTATCATATGGTCACGTCAGTGACACACTCTAATAAAGGCAGACAGAAGAGTTCAATTGATATAATTAGAGAGTTTAGGACTGAATTGACATAAACATCATAATTTGAAAGTCATGTATCTCTACAATGTGGAAAGAGGTTTTCAATCAAGAAGGTGCCATGAAATTTCCATCTAAACCTGAAGTTTCTGAGAAGTGGAGATTTAAGAGACATAGAGGTGGCTAGGGCCTTTCACACTGGCTACGTGAAATTAAAAGCCACAAGTAATGTCATGGGGATTTTGGAGAAGACGACATTTTTATAACTTATTGGTCCCTACGTTTTTAGTCCTTGTTAGAACCAAGTTGCTAAGAAAAATTCATCCAAACACGAAGTCCCTAAGAAATGGAAATTCATCACACCGTGTTATTTTTTGGATTCATATTAAATTAAGAATTAATATTATGTATTTTTTATCAATTTAGTTCTTATTGTATCAATTTTATCAATTTAATCGCTAAAGTAATCAATTTATGTCACTTTGATTTCTACATAGATGAAATGTTAAGTTTTTATGACAGAAGTGACCACATGTCATTTTTTAAAATTAATCACGTGCTCGACAAGTGTGTGTGTGTGTGTGTGTGTTTATTTATATAATAAAATACAATACAATTTAAATTTCAAAAAATAAATAAAATAATTTTTTTTCTTTTCACGGTTGAGGTCTCTTTAAATTTATTTTAAAGTTAATCCGACGACTAATATTAATACTCCAAATTTAATAGAAAAAATAGACCCCTAAGAGTATTTTTGGGCTACCAACGGGCCTTTGGTCCAATAGTACTCCTTATTTTATGAAGGTTTTACCTTCTTGAGGTCAAGGGTTCAAGTCTCTTTCTCTCCTCCCTCTCCCCCTCCCCCCCAAAAAAAAAACAAAGGAGTATGTTTGGGATAATTTTTTAAAAGTACTTCTAAAACTTCTCACTTTTCATAAGCACTTTAAAAAAAAATAGTGTGTAATTTAAACTCGTCTAGATTTTAATTATTGAACTCAAGTTGCATTTATTAGGTATAAGAGTTAGGGAAAATCATTATTAGAGAGGGTTGAAATAATATATTTACAAACTTTTTAACTAATTCAATTGGTTGTGT